TTAGTTATCGCTGCTCGATAATTATGAGCCACACGTTGGTGTATACGACGATAATGCGATGCGATTGTGGATTTGCAGATATTTTCGGACTTCGCGATGATTAATGCCATCGGGCAAGCTTATCACACGCCCGAATGTGCACGGTTTATTAATATTCGGCTCAAAACGCGCTTATTAATAAATTCGGCGAGTAACCTGCATATTTGCGTTAATTTATTCTTTCCGTGTTTTGCGAGATTTACGATCCGCGAGCCGGTTTCTTCGCATTCCGATTTGTAACTTTTGCTTACTTTTCCTTCGAGCATCTAGCGCGGAATTTATGGATCATAGCGAAACAAGTCCGAATTTCTTTGTATCTGTGCGTGTGTGGTGTGACACTGATGAGGAAGATCGTTTACGGTCAAATTGCAAACCGATACGCATTTAAATAATAATGAACATCAACTTTTGCGATTCGCGTTAAAACGTAATTCATTTGTTGGAATAAGCACGAAATTACATGGAAAATTAATCAACGATAACCTTGTGGTGCGCTAACATGGCCATAGCGCAATCAGACGTGATTGAAAACTTGTCTATTGCTCAATTCGGATGAAAAATTAATCTTAACGCGCTGCTCTTGCCCCCAGGAAATCAATAACCATAGCCGAGTTGAACTTTTTATGTCTCGGCCACTTTCTGCGATGTGCTGTAACCGTTCAGTAGACAAGCGAACGATTAACTAACGGATTCAACCAAAATATGTAACAACATTAAAGTTTTCCAGAGGTTACGCGATTGTGGTTGGTGTATTTGTTTGATTTTGCAATCAAATTGGGAAAATTTAGAAATGCGAGGTCACAAGCATGAATTATTAATTGCGCTCGTCACTTCTGAGTTTGCACGTGCGAAAAAGCTCATAGGAGCTCATAAGAGCGTGCTGTAAACATGTGTTATTTATTTGATTTTATTATGTGCGAGCACATCATATTTACAACTTGTTTATTGCAATTTAGCGCGCTCGATCTCATTAATTTTCGTAATTGATGCGATCGTGGCCGATTAAAAAGCACAAACTTTGCTTTCATGTCAGTTTCTGACGATGATATTCATTTGAAATGTTTGAAAATATTGACGCTGTTCTTTTTTCGTGTTTTGTTTTATGCGTTTTGAGGAGCGTTAAAGTTTAACAGGTTTGTTTCACTCCGCCGGGATGCTGCGCACGAGCGTCTGCATCAGTCAGTCGTCAATTGACTAATCATTACGAAACGTTCAATGATTCGCGCGCGAACGCATCGCGTGAATTGCAACGGACCCGATTGCACATTTATTGTGCTCATTACGCACGACTTCTACTGTCGATTTAAAACATTATTACTTATGCAATTAGCGCCGGGCGGAATGCCAATCACGCATTCGATTTGAATGTCACGTTCGAGCGGATCGTCCGCCCTGTCGGCGAATTCCTCATCAACACCTCCGGTCATAATCGTAATAATAATGTGTAACAGCACGCGTTACGCACATTGTGCACAATGCGAATCAAAATAAAGTCGGTAACTTTACAACACACGAATTACCAACAACAACAAATTACAATTACGTGTAATAGTTGTCATAACAAGCGTGGCTGAAACTAAAATATTTATTATTTTAAACACTTATGGATATGTGAATGATGGTCGTATATTCAGTGCGCTGCAAGGTTGCGCCTTTTATTTACAACTTTTGTTTTTGCTCGCTGATGGCTGGTTTATGCGCTGCTATCAGTATCTCTCGGCCGCCTGCTCCCGAGTGGCAATGTCGACGGGACGGTATTCAGTTGCGTATCGATTGGATAATTACTTTCGAGTGCATTGATCTTTTTTTCATCGTTCATCGCTGCACTGTACTGCACCCGGTCGCTGCCCAGCCAGCCGACGTTGGCTTTGTGATTTGTGAATGTTTAAATTTTGACTTTAACCGCTCACATTTTGGTAACAAATGCGGTGTCACCTGCCCGATGATTCACCGCACTTATTCCTACGAACAATTAACTATTAAACGTGTTATCACACATGAAAAATCCAAAACAGCCCGGCCGACTGGTCATACATGATCCGGTCTATTAATTAATCGCTAGGCTATGATTACATTGCCAGCGATCAAGAAAAACACGCAGTAATCGTGCCGAGCTCAAACAATTCCTTTTCTATCGCGGGTATTCATTGCTTTTTGACATTGTTAGTTTTTTTTTTCAATGTTATTGTCATAAATTCAAATGTTTACTGATAATCCTGCCAATACCGTGGATATTATTGGCGATTAGTAATTTGCCTTTGATTAGCATTTTTGCTGCTACGTCATGGTAGTTACTTACTCGATTTTTAACATGCGGTCGCGAGCTGCACATCTTTACGGTAATTAGCTATAAATAAATATAAAGGTAATCGTTTTTTTCCTCAACACTTATTACGTTCTAATCCTCTTACCACAATTGCGAAGACGGAAAATGCACGACGTTATGCATGAGACTTTCTTTTCTATGCAGCGAATTTTCTATATGAAAATATAATTGTGATTTATCTTATAGCAAAGAAATAAAATACGATATAATCCTAGATTGACATGTTGCACAGATAGACATTTAATCTGTTTGTGAATTCTAAAAATACACCTGCAGTTGAAACGTGTATAATTAATGTATATTTTATTTGTTTCAGTGGCATGCCTAGTGATCACCTCAAATGTCAGCGAAAGGTAAGATTTTTTCTGTTATACCTACTAAAATTAAAAGTTGCGGTTGCACAGCAGACTATTACGTCTAACGAGTTTTATGATATTGCGTGTAATTTACTTGTTTTTTCGCCCACCTACATCGTATAAAATACTTCTTCGAGATATTTTTATTTCAATGAAAGAGGTAGCATGATGAAAAATTTAAAGCCCAAGCTATGGTAGACAATATACAAGATTCAACCTCGTTGTAATGAATTACTTCTCTGGGGGCTCGCAAAAGTCCATCGTAAAGTGCGGCCTAGACGAAAAATTTCACTTGCGATAAGACTCGACCGACCGCAGTCGAAACCCTTCTGGGGATATGTTATTGTTTCGGATGCTTACACTGTGTAGCATGTAATAGTGTCCCCACGGGCCCATTTTCGGCTGGGTTTTTGGGTTGCGACATCCGCGTACGCATGTATTCTGTGTTTGTATGTTTGTATGCCCAACGTTTTGTTGCGGTCGGCAAGGTGGTGCCACACTCGTACGGAAAGCTCGTGTGTGTTTCCAGCTAGCCTTGCCGGTCGCCTTCGTCGCGGTCGCCGGAATCAATACTTGAAGCCCTCGACGTTTACAAACAGAGTGTCGGCGTGTGTCTGTTCTGGCGAACGTGCCACCCGCATTCGCTGCTTTTCTTGCTGGCGACCGAGGCGCAAAGCGCACGCACAATTTACGAAATGTTTAAATAACGCCGGCACGACGGAAATGTGCGCCCGACCGTGTGGTGGTCGAAGCGGAGAAGCAATGGTGCGAAGGGTGCTTTAATTGAAGACGAAGGAACAGAAAGAAGGGACGGGAACTAATCCTATTAGCACAACGTGTGCATGACGTTTGTTGTGTTTCCAGATAATTGATAATGACAAGGATACTAGTGCAATGCAAATGGAGAGGTAAAAGTAAAAGGCACAACAAAACGTACTATTTCCATTCTCCTCAATATATTAATATTCAGATGTGTACCGCTGTTTTTCTGGAGAGACTCAAATATTTGCTAACAATGTCTTAAATATCTACCGTTGTAAATCTTTGTGGAATTTTTTCAACATTTTTTGAATGTGAAACGAATTCCAATTATCGATTTTCACACCACGGTGCATTCAGCGCGTCGCAGCCGGTTGTATTTACTCGAAAACACAATGAATACCGTACATTATGACATGTGTAATGTAACATATTCCTATTTAAATTACGTATCAATTGCATCTGTGGAACACCAGCCAAATGTTCCGCGCGCTCGTGCGACTTGCAACATCTCGCGCGTTGCGAGCTGCTCGCTATGTAAATCATCGTCGCACGAAAACGTTTGTCGCCAATTTTGCAATTGCGACGAATGCAAAACGGCGCTTTCTATTTGCCAACAAAAAACGACGCCGCCGAATTTTCCTCACGTTGCGCGCTAGCATGCGATGTGATTCTCGCAATCGAAACGCAGCAGCGACACTTTTCATTCGCTTCGCGCGCGATGAATGAGTCCGGGCGCGTCGGCGAGTGTTTAGAAATTGTCAATTCGCCAAATTCAATTTACATTCCCTCGGCTACTATAAATATTGACAATCCTAATACGTTTCGTAAACAAATTGTTCAATTTGTGCGCCGGTTGCGGTGAACCCGCTCGCTTTCCATCACTGAGCCACATACATAAGTAATTCGACTTGGTTACTTTTGCGATAATTTCGAACTTCCTAATGCTCTCCTAATTTCTCAAGCGTTGTAAAGTATCTCAAGATGGTTTAATTTTGGCGATAAAAACTCTTCGTGTATTTGTGTCACGCGGAGAAGACACGTTAATCCATGACATGACATAAATTCGCGTTTTTTTTCGGAGTACTTTATTTGAATTGTGCGGAGTCTAGATTCCACGCGGACGTATTTATCCGATCCATCATAACACATACATAATTATAATATGTAACAAAATATAACATCAAATTACACGTTAATTTGTTTGGCGACAAGCCGGCGCACTGCAATTATCATATTTTGTTGTTTTTTTATTAAAACATTAATTAGTTCCCGATTTTGTGGCAGTAAGGCAATAAACACACGAAGAGTAATAATAATTACGCAACGCGGTCATAACAAACTGACGAGTGTAAAACATCGTCGATAAACGTCATAACGTTCAATTACTATTAAGTATTTCGATAGCACATTACGCGAGCGTGAAAATTAGATATCAAATTGTGAAAATAGGAAATGAAGTGGATTTGTAACATGTCAAACGCGCGACTGGAAATAAATAAATACTATGTAATACTCACGTTCATAATATGCTTCCGGCGTGGTCCGGCGTTATATCCGCACGCTGATAAGGGATCAATTCACCACTCAATTATTATTTTTCTGGATTAGTCCGTACGCACCTTCGGCAATTATTCGATTCGAACAGTGTTTTTCTTTTCTTTTGGTGTGTTTATTGCGCTGATATTTCAGCACGAGTTCAGCATGAGATTTATTAACAAACACAAACTTTTTGTCAGTTTCTATCGAGTTGATATCGTTGCATTTGAATCTCGTTGCGAGCAATTCGCACGCAAGTTACAAGAAGCAACACCAACGAAAAAAAAATCAAGTTTCTCACAATTATTCGCACACCAATGACTGGGAAACTTGAGCTTTCCCTACGATGTTAAAGTTCGTTGCGCAGTTCGACGATTGTCATTCAAAAATTTCCTAGCGTGAAAATTTCACAGCGTTCGAAGTTTTCGAAGAGACGGAGTTACGCGCGTGGCCTGGCGTGCCAATCGGCGGTCGGCGATGTTTTGACGTGCTGTCGCGGCGCGCAGTGTTTTCGCAGTGCGGCTAGGCGGCAACTAGACTTCGTCCGACCTGACGGTTGCGGCAGCTACACGAAATGCACGCACCGACATCGAACGCAAGAGTGGCCGCCGAGTCGCCGTCTGCGTTCGCCCGCCGTTCGGCAGCTCGAGTCGGCGAGGCGCTGGGCCCCGTCGGGTGCGTTCCCGTCAGCGGCCGCGGCGCAGCGTACCAGAACGACGACGTCTCGCGGATCTCGCGAGTTGTGCGTTAGTGTAGTTGAACTCGGGCGGCGGCGTCGTGCGCTAGGAGCCACAATTCTTGAGTAAAGTCACTGAGAACTCTCTATGCTTCAATGTATGCTGCGAGTTGGCAAGAAAATGTTTTCCATTCTGAAGATGAGTGCGAAATAAAAATGCGTACGAACTTCCAGATCAAGCAATTTTTGTAGTACTCGGAAATTGACGAAAAAGACTACCCCCTGCAAGGCTTGAATTAGCAAGCTCTGGTTTACGAGTGGTAGAGCACTGCTATCACTTAGCTAAGAAGACTCGATACATAGTTAATTAACCTTTTTTATTGCAATTTATTGATTTGTCACGGATTAAAAATAAGTTATTTGGATCTTCTCCGCGGATTATTCTTTTTATCAAATCACAGTGATTTTAAAATAACAGTTCAATTAATATTTAATATTTCCTACAAAAAAATTAATGACTTTTATGCTGGGTAGAAGCAACAGTTGCTTAACTTCTAATCGTTAATGCAAAAACTTCTTTTCTCCTGAGTTAAAAGGTCGGGAATTGTTACACACTTAAGGTGGTTTTACTAAACGCAGAAATTGCCAAAAACTCTTGCCTCCTGTGAGGTTTGAACTCACGACCCCTGGTTTACGAGACCAGTGCTCTACCACTGAGCTAAAGAGGCTTGATGCTTATTTAATAAACCCTTTTATTGCAGACTATTGTTGAAACTATTGATTTTGTATTGTATGGAATTGCTACAGATTAATAATTTATAATTTGGATATATTCGGCGAAAACTTAACTTTCGTGGTACATAAGTGTTACAAGCAAAGTTTATTTCGATAAACGTATTTATTTATCATTCTTCAATAGATATCATCCCTTGACTAAATTGTTTGCTAATTGTTACTTGACTCTCGTTTGAAGGAGCAATATTTTGCCGACAAGTTAAAAAACAAAGAGTAGTTAGAGTTAGTGCGAAAGTTATGTCATTCTGAAGTTGGTATAACAGATTCCAAAAAGAGGAAATTCGTTGCCTCCTGTGAGGATTGAACTCACGACCCCTGGTTTACAAGACCAGTGCTCTGCCACTGAGCTAAAGAGGCTTGTTGCCTATTGAATAAACCCTTTTTATTGCAAATTATTGATTTGTCATTATTGGTACTAACTTGGTTAATCCGACATTAGTGAATTAATTAACTCTTTGTTATGTTTTATGGATTTGCCACAGACTACTAATTTGTAGTCGCGCTCTTTGCGGCAAAAGCAATGTGCTTTCATGAAGTCCAAGTGTTATAACAAAATTTAATTGGTGAAACGTATTTATTTATTATTTTTCAATACATATCATCGCTGGACTAAACCGTTTGATAATTGTCACTTGATTCCCGTTTGAAGGAGAAATATTTTGCCGGCCAGCTGAAAATATAGAGGAGTAAGAGTTAGTGCAAACGATATTTCATTCTGAAGTTGTTATAGCAGATTCCAAAAAAGAGGAAATTCGTTGCCTCCTGTGAGGATTGAACTCACGACCCCTGGTTTACAAGACCAGTGCTCTGCCACTGAGCTAAAGAGGCTTGTTGTTTATTTAATAAACCCTTTTTATTGCAAATTATTGATTCATCATTTTTGGCACTAACTTCGTTAATCCGGCATTAGGGAAATAATTAACTCTTTGCTTTATATATAATGGATGCTATAGAGGCTTGTTGCCCCTTTTAATGAATACTTTTACTGTAATTTATTAATTTGTCATTTTTGACGCTTACGATATCTTCTGTGGAATTTGGTCTTCACCGAAGTGAAGTTGTTTTAGTTGTTTTAATTGTTTCAGTTTTGACAACAACGTCAAATTTAAATTTTAAAATTTTAGGCCTGTTTTGCATTAGGTTGTTGTCCCACTTATCATTTCATCATCAATAATAAAAGGAGAAAAAAGGAGTTATCCTTGCCTCCTGTGAGGATTGAACTCACGACCCCTGGTTTACAAGACCAGTGCTCTGCCACTGAGCTAAAGAGGCTCGTTACCCAGTTTATAAACTCTTTTATTGTAATTTATTTATTTATTTGTCACCTGTGGTACTTTGATACGAGTATTACAATATCTTCTGTGATATTTTGCATTCACCAGATTGCAGTTGTTTCAATTTTGACTCTAGCAAATAATCAAAATCAAGCAAGTCTCTGGGCTTGCTGGAATGCATTTTTGCTTAGTTCGTTATCTCATTTTATATCAGTACGGTCAATAATAGAACAAAAGAAAAGAATCTTGCCTCCTGTGAGGATTGAACTCACGACCCCTGGTTTACGAGACCAGTGCTCTACCACTGAGCTAAGCAGGCTTGATGGTCAGCTGATACACCGTTTTGAGGCCGAGTTTTGGTTACTTTTTTAAGGAAAAATAAAAAAATATATAATATAATTATATTAATTATAATAATTTCATCATACACGACACATTGTACCGACGAAGTATGGACAAAATCGCTAGGTATTTTATTCCTAACACCCTTCAACCTTGAATTCTTAAAATTCTTGATAACAAGAAGGTACTTGGAATGTTTCTTATCAACAAGTTGCTGAGTTGAGGACAGGAATACAAAAATGTTGAATGTGGTATTTCACTTATTGACTCATCCGAATAGAGGGGTTAAAAGGAAGTAGTGGTTGAGAATTACTCTTTTCAACGTCAACACTGGGGCTAATTCGTAAATAGCTACAATAAAAGCCGTGCGAATTTTATATGGTCAATTAACGATGGCAGGAACTTGTTTGTGTTCAAATATTCTCAAGTTTTTGGAAGATTTTATCACATTCGCAGTGACCATTTGCGGTGCATTATGACGTTTTCCGTTTTACCATCACTAGTATCACTTTTACGATGACCAATTTTCTTTTTCACTTCCACGTACAGACGGCAAATCAAATTCGCTGAACATCTGGAAGCGATCACACCATCCTCACCTTCTCCGTCAATTCAAATAAATTTTATTGTTTTATTAGCCATTGGGCGGACACAAGTGCGCACAACTCTCCGACGATTCCATTCGAGTTATGAATCGTAATTTTACATTTCCGATAAAGCCTTGTCAAAATATGGAAGTTAATAACAACATTGATGACTCTGTTTTATTACTACATAATTCTACGCGCCGCGGTACTCATAATAGACAATCGTTTAAAGAAAACGCCAACTTTCAGATCGCGTAACGCTCTATCGAACGCGCAAAAGTGTGTGGTGCGAAGGAGAATAAAACGAGTTTATTAAAAAATTTCTATTCGAGCCGAAACAATGAATTCATTGAGTGTGTTCTACTGGTTCGTGATGGCATTTACTATTTTTGATAAACGCTGCCGTTCGATAACGTCAAGCAGGCTAGAAATGAATGGATTAATGCGTTGGCCGGCTTGCCGAAACTAGGTCAGGATTTGGATTCATAAATCATGTCGAGCGCCGTTTTCGTCTACTTTCGTGCGGATAGCGGTTTGCCGTGGCAAAAAGGGATGACAAATGAATTGCCCTGATTGCCTCCTGTGAGGATTGAACTCACGACCCCTGGTTTACAAGACCAGTGCTCCGCCACTGAGCTAAAGAGGCGTTACGTTTGCGCTTTTAACAGCACGTAAGGTGGAGCACCTGGCTGACACTTTGTGTAATTCGCGCGGATGTATTGGCCAATCGCCGCGACATAATGCAACGTGTCCGCGCGCCGACCTAGCCGAAACAAATCAATTTGTTTGGCGAACTTACTTTCGTCGCGCGGACGCGAATATGATTATTATACGCCGTGTTGCGGCTTGCGTCAATCGTAAATAAAATGCGAGCGCATCGTAAACAACAAATTGGTGCTTGTTCCGTCGTGCGTTTGCCACGAATTCTGCGGAAAGCGCGCTGGCTGAGGGCAGCGCTATGGCAGCGAATAACGAATAACATACGAGTTTGTAATTATCTCCAGATGTTGCTCGCATCGCTTAACTCCAGTTTATCTCGCCGATGCAAACCGGCGGCTCGCGCACGCCTCTGAAATCGGTATCAAAGGCGGCCGCCGCCGTCTCATCGCGGCTTGGGACGCTCCAACAACAATTTCTACTTTATGCGCCATGCGAGGCAGCGCGAATTCAAATGGATGCAGAGTGCCGAAAGCAAACGTGCTTGCAAACTTTGGCCGGCGGAGAGAACAAAGAAAGCGCGAGCGGGTGAATTTTGAATTTGCTCTTTTTCACAGCCCAAATATCTCCTCTTTGCTGTCGATGTTCATAGTTTATTGTCGCTCGTCGTGCGGCTTCTATTTCAGCACGTCCGTGCTCGATGCGGTCACTTTTTTACTCCACCTCCGATTCAATGGCCAATTGTCGATGACAGAGTCAGTCGCGAACGAAGCAGTGATTTTCGCACGCCCGTACGACTATATGCGAATAATGCGGTGACGAGAGGAAGAGTCCATTCAGAGAGGAAAATAAAAATCTTAAAAACCGAGAAAGAAGAAATTCAAACAACTGCACGTCCGGACGTTCGGCTGCGTGTTTACGTGACGGATCAAAAGAGATATGATTTTTTACAACTCACGTATTGCAAAACATGCAATGCGTTGCGAACGAGTCGATGCAGTAGGCACCACCACCATCAAAACGATTCCCACACTTTTATTTGAGCTTTCGCCCAGCATATGCGATGTCCATGAGCGATTTATTTCATTATATTCGTGGTGAACTTGCTTTTACAATAGACAACCAAACGTGCTTCATTAAAACAATAAACTTTTCAATATACATGAGTATCCAAGTAGTTGGCGTTGGTAAATAAATAAGTATGCCGGCAGTGTAAAAAATAGATTTTCGTTTCGGTCGGAATGTGAAAATTTCGCATTTTATTTTCGCGCAATAAATTCCAATCAAATGAAGCCTTTCTGAGTAAACAATTTCGCGATTTCGCGATTTTGCGATTCACATTGCGGTCTTATATCGTGCGCAAAATTTGTATTGGTTTCGTTCTGTGTTGAGAATGTAACCACAAGTGCTTGAGTTTCATCAATATTTGAAAACGCTGCGCCCTTCAACCTGATATGGATGCATCAGCAAAGTGCAAAAACGGTTCGTGCTGTAAGAAACCAGTACGTAGTATATGCGCTCTATTGAAAACGACGAAGACTTCCACCGACAACGATGATAGAATCAGAAGCAAGGTTCGACTCCCTCGAGCAATGTCCACCATCGTAGAAGAAAATCTAAGCTCACAGCTACGCGACGTTCATCAGAGTGTTTTGGAGTTGCTGGATGCAGCAGGACGACGGGTAAGACGGTGTGTGAGTAACGACACGACGCTGGTCGCATCAATTAGTCCTGAATCGAGCACAACTAATAGCAATGCAACCACCACAACATCAGCAACGAATCCAAGTGCTACATCACACGACATCGACAGCATCACCTTATGCAGTTCCAGAAAGTCAAGAAGCTGTCATTTTACTACGTCCAAGCACTCCTTAGTCGCGATAGACGTTGATCACCCTGAAATTTGTCGTTATAAGCGCAGATTGAGACGTAACACAATTGTTTCCAAGGTTTTAACTAAAAAATCTCATAGCAACAACGAATTATACAATCCACAGTATTCTATATTATCAACTCATCTAGAAATGCCATGCCTTGTGCACCGGGGAAAGCATGGATCATCATCTTCTATATACCGCCGGAAAAAGGAGATACTGTATCGGCAACCTGCGCTTTTGACGGAAATTTTGCGTAGGTCTGCGGCGCAAAATAATATTAATATAGGTACGAAACCACCTGTGAAACACGTGCCTCCAGAAAATTCTACACTTTCCCAAGCTGTAAAACAGGCCGGACAAATAACTAAAATAGTGAATAACAAACGCAAAATATACTTTTTTACCAAGTCTCCCGAAAAATATAAAGAACATGCAAAAGAACGAGATAAATCCCATCAAAAGAGTTCTAAAAATAAAAACCGAGAAAGGCACAAAAAGGAAAAATACAGTCTGTTTTCACCTAGTAGTTCTTTAGAAGACGAGATATATAATATTCAAATAGAGAAACGCCATCGAAAATCTGAGGCAAAACGTTCGAAGGAAAAGCCTAAAGACAAACCCAGGAAATCAAAATCACCACGAAGAGAGCACAAGAAAAACAAGCACATGAAAAATGAAGCATCACAGTTTAGCGGTCTACACGTGTCTACTGATCCGACAGCAGAGAAGGCTACTAGTCCGCTGAGGAGCAAGTTAGAAAGGGTTCTGAAAGGTTCCTTTAAAGAAAAAGTCAATGATAACAAACCAGCCGACCGTAATGGTTGCAAAGTACGCGAAAAGAAAAAAGACAAAAAAGGTTCGAAAACTAAAGAATCCAAAGATTCGGTTATACATTTTAGCAACAGTAAATCAAAGAAACGCAAAGAACTTATCAAAGAAGAGCCTGAAAACTGCAGTGAACGTAAGAAAGTGAAGCGGGAAAGCAGCCTTGTGCGAATCAAACAATCCCTATTACAATTGGCAAGATTTAGCAAATTAGGAGAAAAGAGGCGATCCAAATCAAAGACTCGAAGTAAGACTTCAGAAAAATTACAACCCCGCACGTCTTCAAAAGATAAAACAACTCTCACAAAGTTTCTAATGCCTACCTCGCAAACGTTTAATATGGACATCAAAGTATCCACCCACTGCAAAATGCAGAAGTTTTTTGACCAGGATAACGCAGACTTAGATAAATTGTGTAGCTGTGAGCCCATTGCAACAGATAAAAAAGCAAAACCCACAGTAACGCGGGCCCAACTTGGGTCTCTAGTCATACCTCCTTTTAAACCAAAGAATAAGAAACGTGAGAGTCGTGGACGTCATCGTAGGCACAACAAGAAAAACGACTACATAACTGCTGATATTGGCACCATGCCATATGATGATATGTATCCTTTGAGTGATACTAAAGTGCAGACCGAAGACCCTTATCAGCTAACAAATAATTTAACAGATGGCGAAATTAATGTTAAAGCCCTAGGTGAGTCAGATCATTTATATTCGAAAAGTTCTTTGATGGTGCGTGGAACAATTGGTAGCATAAACTCTTCCTATGATTCACATGACACTATCAGAATCTGTGAAGATATATCCGTTACATCTTTACCAGACCTCAGTAATTTAATGGCTATATCGGATTTTGCCAACACCGAAGAAAGTATATTAGTAAACAATGAAAAAGATTTGAAGCATTTAAACCTGGCGCCAGAAGATTTATCAGGACGAATGCAGGGTATGAAAAATTTATTGGACTCATTGTGTGCACCTCAAACATTCGATAACTGCCCCCCCTTTCTAAGGGAACCTTATTGCTACATGACTTTAAATACGACCTTAAATAAACGCAAAATAAAAAACAAAAGTACTAATACCAAAAATAAGTGGACACGAAAGGACTTATTAATCGATTCTTATGCGGATGCAATTCAACGTGCCAAACCACATATTGAACAGCGAAAAACTCACAAAACTTCATTCAAGAAGTCTTATCACCAAAAACGTGGCGCATCTGGTAGACATAAGCAACGATCAACTGACAAAGAATGCTCTAGTGATAATAACGTATCAGATACGCAGCTTAATAGAGGAAAAAATCGGATTAAGAGCAAGATTCCAGTTTTCTTCAGTGATAAACGTATCTTGCAGTCCAAAAAGCACTTTAATTATTCTTCCGATGCTTCCACTTTTATCGAAGATAAAACTGAGAGAAAAGCAAGTCGGATTCCACGACGGAAGTATAAGAAAACAATAAAAAATATATCGGAAACTAATATCCAAGTTGATTCTACCACTAACTGTAATAACTGCAGTAGTGGAAATATTGATTTAGATTTTGATTCTATAGCGTTAGAAGAACTGTCTAAATCTAAGGATTTGCTTAACCTAGAGGAAGAAGTCCTTGATATTTATTGGAATGAAGTTGAGAATATGACCGATTTTAATGCCGTTCAAAAATTGGGTGAAAATAAGAGCAAGGATTGTATTAACATTTGGAATGTGGATAAGTTTGAAACTAGTGAAGAATCAAATACTTTGAGTAAAATTAAGGAAGAAGAATCGAATGAAGCGAATAAAAAAAGTGATAACACGTTATCATCCCGCGAAATATATTCTGCTGGTAATATAGCTGAGAAAACAAGGAGTAAGAATGAACGTTCATTTAAAACTTCCCACCACTCCGCTCCAAACAACTCTCGGAAAACGTTGCTTTCTGTTACTCGAACATGTTTAGACTCCTTTGCAAAAGCAAGTAAAAAATGCATATCTAGTTCTCAGAAGAAGAATCAAAATATGATTGAGGCAAAATCTTCAACTCCTATGCCCAGTGATATTCTTTCCCTGGCAAATATTACAAGTAAAGATATGACACAACCAACTAATACAACCACATTGATTGTAAACCTGACTGAATTAGACGACGCGCATATGAACGCTTTTAATTGTAATTCGAAAGCGTTGCTGGAAGATAGTCTGCGACAAATTAGTTCAAAGATTAATTTGGAGGAAGCTATGAGGCAGGTGGGAAATGGTGATAAACATTCTGTGTCTCTGCAAGTTATTGTTCCTTCAAAACATGCGAATACTAATACATCTTTTTCACACATACCAAAAAGTTTACCGCGGAAAAAGACTTTTCATAAGTCCAAACTTCCGCTTCCAATAGATCGTAGTAAGAAATCTGTTAAAAATAGTTACACGTTTCCAATCGAGATCGATTTGAGAAAAATTGGTATGGGTGATAAGTCCGGAAGTGATGTAAGTACGTTGGCAGTTCAATAGCTAAAAAAATTCGTCCTAACATTGACTTTGATTTAGGTGGCAACAGCGTGTTGTGGGAATCTGGCAAGTGGGCAAGCGAATGGTCCGATTCAGTTGCAGATAACTGTATTGTTAATGGGGAAACCATAGTTAATCCGGTGTGTGAAGATAAATTTAATATGTGTCTTGGTAACAACGTGATATCGTCTAAGCGTAGTTCAAAATTTTGGAGTTTGCATTGGTGGCGACGTATATTTTCTAAGAAAAGTAAGAAGGCAAACAAAGAAATTGATGTAATATTAAATTTCACTAATTTTACGGATATATTGGATGTGTCCTCAACTTACAGTTGTCAAGTAGAAAAAAGGAATATGGTTGCAAGATCGCGCTCTTTAATAACATTATCCAATTCAAGAACGGAAAGTGTAGTACCAATTTTAAGGACGTTGAGTATGGACAGTATTCATTCAAGTAACTATAACACTGCTCATTTCTGCATGAACAAAAACGCACTGATTGTTCAACAACTAGAACACGAATTAAATATAAGAGAAGAACTGACTGAGATAGATACACTTGTTAATGAGGAGGTGATAGCTGTGACAGATTATAATCAATCTGGTTCCCAGTTAGATGTTGCAAATTTGCCTATTGCTAAACGAAATAATAAAAATAAGTTACCGGGGTACAAAACTAAGAAGAGCAGATGTAAATTGGCGTGTCATAAAAGTCGCACAAAATCTGATAAGAAAACGAAATTTATATTTGACGTTCCTCCTGCACCTGTACATCATGAAAGCGAGTTTGAAGCAACCCGAATAATGATCAAGACAGCGAAACCTGCTATAAATTTAGAAATGCATCACGAAGGTAAAGAAGAAGTTGAAAAACGATTGCATGAGTATGAAGAACGAGTCGTCGAGCGTGAGAAGTTAATCGTTTTTAAGGAGGATAAACGTAAAATTGATAAAGAGATTAAACATATCAACCAGGAAGCTGAGCAGGGTCGGGGTGGCTATGAGAATATTTACACTCCAATTACTCGATGTGATTACGGCATGACCTACTTTAATTTCCAATCGGCTTTGAGGAATTTTATGGCTAATGCAGATACGCTACGAATTCTGACTCCTTGTGTGAAAGGGCATATGCAGAAAGCTCCAAAAGAAACACCTCCACAAGAGGTCCCGCCTGTATTGATTCATGTTGGTTCTCAGACTTGTGTACGTCTAATTAGCATTAAATTTATCAAATATTCCAACATTTACTTCTTTCCAATTGTCTTTTTCTTTTCAGGATCAAGACGTGACTACTCTTGTTGGTGAGTACATATTTCCAAACTACGAAGCTTTAATGGCAGAAGAAATTAATATCGAAGAGAAAGCTGAACTCGATTCTAAAACGAAAGACATCATTGAGTTGCATACTCAAGAAGAATTTTGTTTTGAAATATATCCAGACGTTAGTGTTGAAACTGAACCTGAGCCTATCCCTGAAGTAGTATCAGTAGGATCAAATACTACAGATTCTTGCCTTTGTTGTGATCCCAGCATTTGCAGTAGTGAATCGTCTGCAGAAGATGAATATACTATGAAGTTAATTTTGCAATCGGAATATCAAGAGATCCACGTAATTTTCAAAGATGACGAATTTAAAATCGTTCTTCCGAGGGGTTCTCGATCCTTTCTTCAATACTGTGATTGTGGTGCTGATGAGGATATAGAACGTGCCAGGGAACGCTTTTTCGAACTACTCTATGAAAGGCTTCGAAGAAACAGTAATTTTATACGAAAGCTTAGAAGCGTTCTTGTTTATTCAATGAAGAGTCTATTAGGTGTTGGAAAATACAGAGAATTGTCACGTAGGTTTATTAAAGATGTCACGAAGGCAATTATAAGCTACGAAGATATCTGTTACTTCCATGCGGTGACAATTACGATTATAGAAATAAAATATAGAAAACTATGTGTATGTGAGGCCGATTGTCCAATAAAGGAACGACTTGATACTATTAGAGAAGAACCGGAACCAGGAGAACAAATTGATGCGCCAAAGAAAGAACTATCAGAAGAATACACAGGAGATGAACAAAAAGAAAATAACGTTGTTCAACTAGAGAAAACTTCATTTACTGATATATTGGACTTGCACAGTTGTAGTAGTTGTACAAGTTTGGAACAAAAGTCAAAAGCTACCTCTCTTTCCTCTATTAAAGCTTTGAAACATAGCAAAAGTTGTATGTGCGTAATAGAAGATAGAAATACTCCTGAAACACGCAACAAGAAAGTTGGAAGGTGTTGCAAAGTTGATATGGCACTTGGTGATGATGGTTCAAAAGAATTGATACATTCTTCTAAAAAACGATTTAATCATAAGAGGTATCCACGCAAACATAAAACAAAAAAAGCAGGGTCTTCAATAGAATTGGAACGGTTTTATACGTCTGACGAATTTATTCCTCCTCCCGTTGTGGAGTTCTCCTACTCTTGTAGTCAAGTGGTCCTGCGTCATCCCCCTATCCTCTGGGTTCTTGCAAAAAAATTGGCTAAAGTCCCAAAATGGAGGAAGAAACATGGGAAAGTGGGAAAAGAACGTCCTAATCGCAATCGCAAAGTAAAACATGATAATCAATCAACAAGTGAAAGTAGCTCATGGCATAAATCATCTCATGAAGGTTCTTCTAAATCTTGTTGTGCCAAAAAGAAAAAACAGGCTAGACCCAAAAGAGAAACACAAAATTCTAGCTGCATGCCATGTAGTTCTTCTTCGGGGCGCAATAGCCAGTGTAAACCTAGAAAATCATCTTGTCAGAGAAAACCTAAACATGATGATGATCCTGATAAGCATCATGATCGCCATGTTGAATGTTTCCCAAATAGACGGACTAATACACCTGGGAGTTCCAAGCATGCAGGACCACAGTGCACCGACGACCAATCAGCGGGTTGTTGTCACAGTCGTTGTGGCAAAAATAAGAAAGCGGCTCAGGATCCTATAATTCCTTGTGCAAATTCTATTCAGTGTAGGGTTCACACGCCAGAAACTACACATGAAATGATGCCTAGTTCTAGTCACGCCACCGCTTCGCAAAATAATAGCTCCATCAACGATTTTTCTGCAATTCCAGACGACGATAAGGAAAATTCAATAGATAGCACCAGGTCAACCCATCGAAGACATAGTGCACCTGCTGTATTTAGACGAAAACCAAATTCTAAAAAGACTACTAGTGATTCGCTTACTCAATCCAATTCAACTCAATGTGATGCTTCGACTAAAGATCACAATCTACAAGATTGTGCTTGCGGTCCATCATCTCCTCTAATTAATGCAAGTTCGTCCATGAGTGACGATAAAAAAAAACTTCTAGCACCGAAAGACTCTACGACTGATACTTTGAATAAAGGAAAAGAACATAAGACCGTTTTGAATAATGAGCCAACTAAGAAGACACCGAAATGTTGTATCAAAGCAACAAAGAGGAAGAAACCTAAAAAAAATAATCATAAAAATAAAAATTCCCATCCTCCAAAAAGTACCACTGCACCATGCTGTAGTCCTAAAAAGGTCACTCCGAATTGTTGTGTGAAATCTGCTCCTTTACACTCGGTCAAAGTATTAACTACCGAAGAAGTGAATGGCGAAAATAAACAAGAAAGGAAACCTGAAGTATCAAAACGCAATACCGATTCTGATATACGCGTTCTCTCGACTGAACCTGCAGCACAATCTAGTTCAAAGACACTATCAAGCGAACATTTGAGTCCTCGAGATAAGTATATGTTAACTCCAGGTGAATACACAGCATATCCAGTGATGACCCAAACAACAATTCAACAGGTACAACCAATGGTGTCGATTACTGTTTTAACTGATGAAACTATTATGATGGATCAGGAATCGGCAACTTGTAGTTTTACCGACAGCGAGATTCAGACTTTACTATCATTTAGACCCATCAATTCGAAAAGACCAACATGGTTAAAGAAAATGACAACATTTCGTAAAGCTCACAAAAGAAATCATTCGATATCCTTTCGCAATTACGAAAGCTGGTTACCGGGCATAGCTCAAACAAGCATTACTCTTTTGCCAACATTAAATATTTCCCACGCTTTATTTGGTAGTAAGCGAAGGCACAAACGATTTCCTCGCAAGAGTAATGACAAACATCGAACAGGCAATGCAAAGAAAATTCAAGAAATTCTGCCAGCACAAAGCATGAAGATGTCTACGGAATCTTTGTTAGTTCATCTTGGGACACCGACAAGCTTGTCAAGGGCATCAATACATGCCAAGCCAAATCCAGCAATGCCAGAAGGAGCTTGTTTAACGGTATCTGATATTGATAACAAAGAAGAGCCCTTAATCAACCATTCTGGGGAAATCGTCAAATTGACCGCTTGTGCAGTGAACTCTAGTGATTCATACGATCTGACGTCGATTGTAGATGATGCGGCTGAAGAAGTAGAAAATGATAATACGCTACAAGTAAAACAAGAGTGCTGTAGGTTAAATGATACTTTAGATCCTGACGATGACAAACACTTAAAATGTCGGAAACAGGTGAATATTGAAAAATATACCAATGCAGATGATCTCTGTTTAATGACTGTGGAAGGTTTACCGGGCTCGATGACAAAGCCACCTATACCGTGCAGTAAATTAGATAAATTATATTTATTTGCACATTATGTGCAAACAGATTTTGATATGTATGTGCATACTACAAAGAAGCAGTCTATGAGTAATTATTTGCGGAAAAATTCGATTGCTCCCAGTACTCGATCGTCCGTTCCAACTGTTCGCATGTTTCACAATAGTGATACCTCTGTCATCGATATAAATATGGCACCTAAGTGTAATGAATGTAAACCTCCTGCAAAAGTAGCCGAGCACTCGTCTGTTACCCCTAAAAATCCTGATCATGCACCTCCAAGTGCATCAAATATTGTTAGATCTACTAGCGCTCTGCAACTGATGGATCAAGAACATGTAGTTGCACCTGATAAGATAGGTCCGAAAACAGATTCATCACTGCAAAGATGGAATAACCAAGAAATATCGCATAATACTCATGCGAATCATTCTAGTAAAACTAATGAAATTATGGCTGATCCTTATGTTTCCAAAATAAGTGAAAGAATTATTATTATTAGTGACTTGAATTCTGGAAAACGTATCGAATATGGCAACTCAGATAAACGACTGATGCCTATACAGTCAAGAGTTCCTGAAGGTGATAATGTTGGTACGGGTGAGAATGTAATCATTACACAAACAGATAACCCACATATGGTCTCAAAATTATTAAGTACTATTGTTGATATATTAGACCAACCAACAAAGAACAATGCCAATTTTGTTGATTTTGGGACTACGACTGGTGGTCCTGCAATAAATTATGCTGATTATAACCGAGATTCGAACTTAATAGAAGGTGAAGGAGGAAGGAGAGGAAATTTGAAACGTTCAATTATGTTCGATGATCAGTCAGCCCAAGTTACTCTTGTTAAACAAGGCACAAAATGTAGCCAAATTCCAAGGGGTAATAACTTATTAGAATGCTCCGATGGATCCTGTCTTAAAGAAACCCAATTTTTGCCGCGGTCAGCATCGCATGATTTTTACAGTGATACAGGTAATAATCGAGCATCCGTTTCAAACTCAATGCAATTATCTAATAATCTGCTATCAGGCGGAATTAAAAGAAAGTCCGGCGAAGATGAATTTGTTCCTCATTCAGCACCTAAAAGGAGAAAACATGAAGTCAAATCGTGTTGCACACCAGAAACCGAAATAATAAGTGTACCTACCACGAGCAAAGCTAATAATTCGAAATATGTTTCATCACGTGTTCAAACAATGCGTAGGGGACGGAATTCTAGAAATTCGAAGCTTGTTTTCGCTGAGACAAAGAATAATTCTTGCTGTAACTTAAAAGAGAGGACGGAAGTGAATACATCTACTGCGATTCATCATCCCAAGACTGATACTAAAGATAAAGATGTAGAAACATTTATTACAAAATCATTGGCAAAAAATCAGAAACCATGCTGCCAACAAAAAGCCTCTAAAATTGACAAAAAAGTTAGTGTTCGTCCTATTTCAGAAACTAAAAGAGATAGCTTTGCAACAAGAAATGCAAAACTTCAAACAAATTCACCTCCTCCTTTGGAGATGCAAGAGCAATGTTGCAATCCTAAACAGGTTCATGTAACTACCAGCCCTGAGAGAATAAAAACAAATGTCACTGCAACATCGGATACAAAGCCAGTAAGGATTGTTCAACCGAAAGAACGCCCTAATTCCGGAGTTAATTGTGGATTCACTTGTGAAAAAAAGAAAGAACGTAAAAGGGTGTTTCCAGAATGTTGCGATGATAATATCCGTAAAGATTTTGAAAATCAACCTCTGAGAGATTTTGTAGAAACCCATTCCCCTTGCTGTCTTCCCAATGAGGTAATTGAAGAAGCTAAATGTGCAACGTGTGTTAGGCATTGTAATGAAAAGAAATCAAATAATAATTCAACTTGCACCTCTGGAAAACACTGTGGATGGAAAAAATGTTGCAAAAAAACCAAGAAGCCTCCAAACAAGTACATTTTCAATGAGTGTTGTGGGGCTGACGTTATAAAAGATTTTTACAAATTGGGTGCTACAAAATTTACCAAACGATACCCAGAATGTTGTTGGCCTAGGATACTACCCCGTCCCTCGGCTCAAGTGGTCGATACTTATTATGATATGCAACCGTCTGCCTCAAATAAGCCTGCAAAACATGAAGATCCTGCAGAACAACAGCCTAAGTCAAATTTAAAGAAACGGTTTGAATACGTATTTAATGACTGTTGCAATGATAAAACAATCGAATTATTTCATAAATTAGGTTTAGAGAACTTTAAAAATATATATCCTGAATGTTGTTGGCCACAAATAATTGAAACGGATATCGTAGCACACGAAATGTTACCTCCGAATCATACCGACAAAGATAAAGACAAAGGTAAAAATATAGCCCAGAATAACTCTCAGGAAACATCTGAGTTAGTGAGGAAATATGAGTATGTTTTAAAAGATTGTTGCGGGGATGATGTAAAAGCATTACTGACCAAACTGGGTTTTGAAGAGTTCTCTAAGTTATATCCTCAATGTTGTGTTCCTGAAAAGGTTGTAAAGGAAGAAGTTCACAAATCTCCGAAACAACTAGATGATGATAATTCTAAAAATTCCGAATCTACATTTAAAAAATGCTTCTTCAACTGCAAGAAAAAACAATCTGACAGCAAACCAAATGTCTTGACAATTCCAGATATAGATGAGCAATCTCCAAAAGAGAGGAATAATCATATGCCTATTTCGGAATATAAATTTAGTGAGTGTTGTGGAGAAGATATAAAAGAGGAGTTCTCCACTCAAGGAGAACACGAGTTTAAGAAAACTCATCCAGAATGCTGTTGGCCTACACGAGATGAACTTCGGTGTTGTGAGCGTGATTCGGCTCATTGGCACAGTTTTCTCCAACAATACAAAGAGCGCCCGGAATTGATGGCTACATTACCGGGATGTTGCATAGAACATGTAAAAAAGCTGTTAGCTGAGTCGAAGGAAAAGAACGAAGTTGTATTAATGCAAACAAACAATGATTTTCCTCAAAACACCGGAAAAATAGATTATTTTCCTACATCTGCAGGATCCTTACCTTCACCGTCACAACCATCAACGATTGAAAATCTAATTTTAGCTGAGCATCCAGAGGAAAATGAACAAATTCGCTTGTCTAATAATATATCCCTTAATATTTTACCTGAACATACTGTTAAAAAACCAACAGCATATCGAAAGCTTGGAGGCAATATCGGATTAACTGAAGAAAAATTGACATCAGATTTGCACCCTTCAAAATTGAGAAGCTGTATTCTTGAACGCACAGATAATAAAAATGATAATAGTACGAATCAGGTAAAATCTGCAAGAACTGCCTCAGGAGAAAACGTGAACTCGGTAAAGCCCCTAATGGGAAACAAAAATTCTTCAAAAGATCACATATCTTCATCAAATAGTAAAAACTGCAAAATAGAAACAAGTAATTTGTTCCATAATAAAGTACTGAAAGAGACCTTGGCATCTCCTGGATTGGTCAAATTACGTCCGTCTTCAAATCAAACTGAATCCAAATACTCTTTGTTGGATCAAATTGATATCTGTTTTGGTGCCCCAAAATCAGTTAGTGAACCAAATCTAATGGTTTTTGAATCCGATGACTACGATCTATTTAAAATCAGAAACCCGAAGATAACTAAGGGGCCGTTACGCTTCAAAATCTTTGCACCAACGCGTCACAAAAATCCAACCAATATTTTAAAAGGTATTATACCATTCACAAAATTTAGCAAACCCATCGACAGTTCAAAGAAGCCATCCACACTTCAAACTTTGGAACCAAAGAAGCAAATATCTTACGTTTCGGTTAAAGTGTATGATCCACAAATAATGTCTATTCATTCTAGAATACAAGTTCGCGATGATGATGAATCGTCATCTGCTCAACTGGAAGAGGAAGATGAGGTAGATGGCAGGTTAACAAGCACAGAGTACTCTGACCCGCTGACTCTTAAAAGTCAACCTCACAAGCCTATGCCACAAGATGAAAAGAACATTAAATTTCTTGAAGAAATTGAATTGATAGATTTCAAAAAGCTTAGAAAGGGTAAAAAATCATCGTATAATGGGAGTGGTACATCAGATTCAGTATCACGAGATGTAAGTGAAGATGAATCAGGTATAAGCACAGAGGGATCAGGAAAAATAAACGAAGCCCGGAATGTTTCATCAACTTCGATATCACCAAAACAATCAGACCCAATTATTGCTGAGGACACATCGTCGCCTACGCCAGAATCACCCAAAGCCTTTTTGGCAGATAGAAGATCAATAGATAGTCTTCCACAAGGACAACAAATGTCAATCCCGAGCTCACCACCTCGGCGATCATCTCTATCATCGGGGCGATATTCTGAACTGTTGCACGGAACAGCCCCCCCAGTGACGCCACCTTTATCAATTGAAAAAGAAACACCTCGTCCAAAGCCAGTTATAAGAATATCGTCTGCATCATCACTTAAATTTGAAGTCGTACCAACACGAATGTCTGTTGGTCATTCTAGTACTTCAGGCATGTCCCTGAAGAAAAATAAAACGGCTATGGAGCGGTTCGTTTCCAAGTTTTATGACAATGAAAAACCACCTAAGGAAAAGAAGTCTAAACACAATGGAAACATAATTTCAAAACTTTTCGGCGAAAAAATGTTGTGTAACATCATACCTAAATGGCATAAAAGTCCCAGAACATTTAAGTGCGGATGTACTCAAGCAAGAGGAAAACCGTGCAAATGTCATGGCCAAACCAGATATTCATGTCAGTGTAAGCAAGAGGGACCACATATAATTGGGTACAGTTTTGTGGACAACCCTATTTTCTGTTCACAAAATAAACAATCGATGAGCAATCTCAAACAGACAAGTTATTGTTCTTTATTTGAAACTAATAGCGAAAGCAATGATTTGAAAAGTGCAATGAATGAAGATTACAGCACGGGGTTTATTGACTTACTTGGAGAACAACAGTGTGTGATAGATTCCAAATGGCGGTTGGGCGCGGGCCTAAATGAAGAAATGATCGGCTTTGGTTCTTCCGTCACTAACAGTCAAAATAAATTATCAACTATAGTTGAACATACTGAACAAGATCATGAATACGAGCAAGTAAAAGGTACGAGTGATCATGGGTACTCAATAAAAAACAGGCATGACATTATTGGTGTTTATAAACGTTTGCATCCTGGGTCGCGTTGTCACTTTTCCTGTTTGCGTCAGAGCTTAGGCAATCGATTACCGCATGTTTTGACCAAAACTGAATTTAATCCAAAGTTACATGCACTCTCGAGTGCTATTGATTTGGAGCGTAAGAAGAGTAAGTTAGATCGATTAATAAAACGAATAAAATACTCGCTCAGTAGGTGGAAAGTGCGTAAGACGAAATATAACGAACCTTCGGTATCGAATTCAACTGAAAACATACCGAACCGCACTTACAAGAAAGATACAATACGTTATAATCATACCTATAAAGTCGATAAACGCCCAGATGACAGGCGGAAGGAAGAAATTCGAATTGGCGGAACAAGTTACCTTATACGAGCGCCAAGGGCCTTGTCTAAAAGCGAGACCTTAAATTCGCAGCGTACTATTGGTTCGGATATTCCCTCATTAAGATCATATGAAACTCCTAAACATATAGATGTTGCCAACAATGTTGACTTGAACACGACTATTTCAAATTTTAACGCAAGAAAGAATCCAATAAAACTAAATAATTCTGATCATCTGCTCAAATTGCAAGAAGAAATTAAATGGATTGATGAAAAACTTGCAGGAAAGTATCGGGAAGCTTCCTTAAAGATCAAACAGGAATTGCAAAAGAAAGTTTCTAAGGAACCGGTTAGTTCTGTAGCCATATCAACTAAACCTTCAATATCTGAGAAAGGTACAGATGCTGTCACAAAAAATTCTCATTGTGTTATTAAATCTAAGCAAGTAAAAGTACTTAAAGAGTCACTTTTAAATGAGGATGATTGTAATAATTGCTTTTCAATACAAAGTTGTTACTGTAACGTCCAAAACAAGGTCGAAAGAACATTAAATTCAAGCCCACAAGAGGAACTAGTCGAATTTCGAGAGCTTATTCGTCGTGAACGGGAACGTATTCGAAGGGAAGATGTGATCAGAAGGAAACAGGCTGTTTGTGAAGCTATGAAAGTGAGTAAAACTTCTATAGATGAAGAACAGAACAAAGCAGTGTTTGCCATCGATACTTGTGCATTATTCCGTGGCCATACGTGCAGCAAATGTATGCTAAATGATGCTCCCACAAGGGATTCTTCTCAAGAAAGTGTACAACCAAAAATAAGTAAGTCAGCCCACTTATTAGCGCATAATATTAGCTCAGGAGGTGAAGTACTGCTAACAAATATGAGGGAAAAGCATGGTATTCTAAGCACGTATGTCCCGACCGTACCACCGGCTTATCCAGCCATGGTCAGATCTCAAATCAGTTCGAAAATAAATAGCAACGGATTGTGCAATAATTTTAACACAGAAGATGTGATAGTGCAAACACAAAATGATATTGTTAAAGCTGGCTCGTCGAACGCAACATCTCCGTTCCCAATTTCAAAAGTGCGTCGTCCAACGGAAAATCATATAATGAGTGAAATGATCAAAAAGTTACACTATGAATCTGAACAGGCTTGGAAATGTCGAACTTTAATTGTAGAAGAACCATCAATTGAGCCACTAACCCTTAGAGTGCAACCACCCAAATCCGTAAACACAATACTTGTACCATTCAATACTCTGTGGAAAAGGGAACCCACGGTTATGTTAGTCCCAGGTACTAATTGCTCCAGCCAGTCAAAAGGCCAATCATACCATCCACGATATTCAGAGGACGGTCACAACAAAATCAAACTCCGCCTGAAGTTTAAGTCACCTGCCAGTGAAAATTTCAAACCAAAGCGTCCATTCCAATCGTATGTCTTGGAAAAGTTAAGCAATTCTTCTTACTCCTCCAAAGACATTGAATATGTTCTTAAAGTTCATGATTATAACACTGAAACAATAGGAAGATGTCAACCGAGTTCTCCACAACGGCAAATGATTGAATGTGCAGGTAATTGCAATATTACTGATTCTGAAAGTGAATGCGTTCTCTTAGATAGACACCGTTATCACAAGGATACCAACAAAATAGAAAATTATTCCAAAGATATATTGGGTGTGCCTTGCAGCCATAATTCCAATTCACGACCGAATGCCGCCACCAACGTTAGTCATCGGAAAACCAATATTGGTCATGTAAGCGAATACTACAAGTACCAAAAATGAGTGTCGTATTACGCGATGATTCACCATTCGCTGATAAGAAAGATTATCGTTTTCTAACTAATATGAACCTTTGTACTTGTGCATTACAATAATTTATATGAGTAACGCGAAATTAAAGACCTATAATTCGGATATATTTAACGTGTTTTATTACTGTGGATGCATTACTATAAAATATATGAAATACATGCATGATATTGTAGATTAACAAATAGTAATAAGTTGTTGTTTTGCTTCAATTTGGAATTCAAAGATATCATTTATCTACTTACTATTCTATGGTTCAACAAGCAACGTGACGGAGAGGGGCATACGATCTAGCGTGGTAAACAAATACTTTATTATTTAGTTTCTATTTTTATTTCGGCTGAGATCCAGCCTTGTACTAGTTTACGTGTCAGCTGCAACCGTAAATGAAACATAGGAATATATACCAGGAGTATATAATTTTATATTAGAGTAAATATATATATATATATTAAAAACAAATCGAGTTACAAAAGTAATGTAAAAAATGATAGATTTTGTGTAAAAGCGTATAAAAAGATAGACAGTTTTGCGCAGTTTACATACATTGACACATGGACTTTATCTGCACATCATGCAAATTTGAAGCACAATATTAGCAAATACGATATAAAATAACTTCGATTATATATCTTTGGTCGGAGTTAATCGTAAAAATATTTTTAGGAAGTATCTGAAAGGCACAACATTGAATTTCGCGTATATAAATATTTGTGTTTGTTCGTCAATGCGACTTATCAAAATGGAGATGGTGCTCCTTATCAAGTAGATTAGTACAATATACAGAAAAAAAACGGGTAAGAAACATTTAACAATGGAAATTGTTCAATATTGACATCAAAAGCGGCTTTACGCGCGCATCGCATAAAAATGTGTTAAAGTTAGAAGCCACTAGCGGCATGGTGGCACCCAAACTTTGGCGACGGAAGTGGTTTAGTACTCGCCGCGCCATGTAAACAGCGAATCAATAAGAAAACAGGCTCCGTTAATAATTGACAGTGATCCAATAGCAAGACCGTAGTCGCGCTTTTCTCCTTTCCATGTATTCTCATAGTACTTAATGTTCAACGCACCGGCGGCAATAAAAAGCGCGCATCCAACTAGACAGTAGAAGACGTCGATTCTTTTTGTAATTGGTGACGATGCCAGATGTCCTGAAATATAAGCAAACTATTAGTACCGCGGGCGTGTGTCTCTGCTTGATAACAACGCACCACTGAACCCTCCAATGAGGATGATCACAAAGCCGACGAAGGTGCCGGCGCTGACCAGATTAGTCATTATATCTGTTGTCATGTCATTTTTGTAGAGCAAACCGGTGCATACAATCGCAATCGCCTGAAAACAAAAATGCAACATTTCATATTTATATTTATCCATGCGTTCATGGTCGTTATCTTGTCATGTTATTTGTATAGCACGTAGTGTAATTCCTGCATGATGAGTAGTATTTCGCTATGAGAACACATCATGAATACATAAATATAAAATTACGTCATTGTGCTCTCTCGGCTGTTTTAAAAGTAAACAGCGTATAATTTTTGTAATTTGTTTATGAAGTCACGTAGCTGCCTTACCGCCCAAAAAGCGAAAAATAGTGACATAGCAGGTTGCGATTACGCCATGACATCACGATCAGACGCAATGTATCACCGTCGGTTATTTGCGGTCCGCACGTTCATGCATAATAGCCGCGGTGACCTCATAAAAGCGATTTCGGCGCGTAACTCAATTACGTCATTTCTATAGCCGGTGCAAATTGATCTTTTCGAATATTCAAATTATTAATGGCCGACCGACAATAACGTTTCCGTTCGCGCTGCTTAATGCCAGTATAAAAAGAGCAAGTATGTAAAGCGCACAAGGCCAATACAACATAGCTATACAATTATGCGTTGGGCCTTCAGTATTTTAACGCGAGTAACACTCCTTGAAGATACCATGCTTACGAGGAGATCCTTGTGAAGGGCTTGTGCCGCGTGCGCAATTAAATAAGAATGCCTGTAAACGAGGGCAATCTGGCTATTCTCCCGGTGACCGGAAACCCCGTGGGGAAGTTAATGCGCAGTTTATATATACACTTTATAGTGGTTTATTTACCGGCTGGTTGATGTATTTGCAAGTACGCGCGGTATCACATATCGATCCTGGGAGTTTTAATGTTTATTTTTTGTTGAAATATGTATACTGGATGGGTTATTTCTGGGCGTGAGCGCAATAAAAATTTGTGCATTATGACTAATTATATCACGCGGCCGTGTTATTGCTGATTTGTGAATAGTTTTAAAATATTGGCTTGATGACAAATTAACCGGTGAATGAAACATACTTCTACATGAAAGTTTTACTTGGGGTCCAGTTTGGGTCATTATAGCGATAAGATAAGAACATCGAAAACTGACTCAATGCAGGAATATTTAACCATTCGTTGAAATACATATTTTGAACAATCGGGAGCTCTTACAATGACGCATACGCTCGTGTATATTTATAGAAAAATTTTGGAGTTTTACTTTCGTTTAAAAAATAGAGTAAATTGCACTTACGAGTTCCAGGAATTTAATGATTGACAATTTGCTGATGGCCATGTTGCTAGTTGTCGGAACAAGAATGCGTTGAGTTGATAAATTTGTTATTTAGAAGCACCCACTCGGTGATTAATACTATCTTTAAACGTAGCTGCTGAGCTCCAAGAGATGAATGCTCCACGAACGTTACGAGAATGAGAACTGCGCGTCGCTAACGTGTCGGCGTCCCCAGCGCTCGATCGTCGGGAAGGCGCATCCAGTGGTGGGTCGCGACCTGCAGGCGCGCAGAAGCGCACCTCGCGCGATGCCTCGACTACGGTCGTGACACACTTTTGAACAATGAAGTCATCGCTAAAACAGATCAAAAAAGGAGTCCGCCGCGGTGTAGAGCAAGGTCGCCTCTTCGATGGTCGAACGTGTGTATTTTGTTTTCGATAGACGTGCTCATGTGCCTAATCAATGCGCGTGCAATGCTACAATACGAGTACACCGCTGCTTGTTAGTGCGGGAAAAATTGGGAATTTTCCTTATTCCTCTCCCACGAGTAATACTTAACGTTACTTAGTTCGGACATTTTTATTGCCGTAAAGTGGTTTCGTCCGTCTCGAATTATTTTTGTATTTACAGAAACATTCAGCAAGATTTTGTATGCACGCACCAAATTTGCTTTGATTTCCCAGGAAAACTGATGAAACTTATTATTTCCATATCTAGTTGCTCTACTACCGGTCTTTGTAATCAAAATGCAATTATTGTTTTTTTTTTATAAATTATCGAACTTTTAACATGATTCGCTAATTATTTTTTGGACTTGTTGGGAGTTAATACACTCTTTATTCATTATTGTAAACCAAAAATCTAAATACTTAAATAATAAGATTACATATATATTTTTGTTAACTCACTTTACATGAGTGTTGACTAGATTTCTATTTTAAATGTAATCGTTTATAGTTGCCGTGTAATGGCACACCGTGTACCGTTTGCCTACACTGCATGCGGCAGCCTCACAGCGAACATCATTTCCTCTAGTGATGTCTCGGTAAGTCGTGGCGATTAACAAAAATTAGTTATATTCATATATAGTGTTCTGTTAATAATCAAACATGCGTGTGTTGCGTTAAGAAATGTGCGGTGCGATGACATTGACCTTCATTAGAATTATACTGCCATTGTTTCGAAACATGAAGAAATTGGTAGGGTACGTAAGTAAGGAACATCAAATAATTATTGCATTAAGTATACCAATATTTCTGAACCGAGGTAGCAATTAGATATTATTTCGGGAACCGTTTGCACTATTTCAATGCCATTTGAATATTCTGATAGAACAAGAGCTGTTATAAACTATTGGATGCTGCCGGCAAGAGAATTCACGTACAAGAACCGCCTTCAAAAGTCAGCATATTTTAACATTTTCGTAAACTTGCTGTGGAAAATTCGCATTATCTCGGGAACCGTTTGCACCATTTTAATACCGTTTACCCCTCTTGCCGTCTTCGGAAATCACATGCGAAGTGCTTGAAAACAGCCCCCAAAAGTCGACAAGTTAAGAGATTATTCTAAACTTGCTGTGGAAATTGTTCATTATCTCGGAAACCATTTGCGACATTTCAATGCCGAGTTGAGAAAAGTTTTTATAAGCGGTGGGTTTCCGCGGGCCCCGAAAATCACGCAAGAAGTGTCTGAAAACCGCTTCCTAAAGTTGGCAAGCTTTGACATTTTTCTAAACTTGCTGTGGAAGCTTCGCATTATCTCGGGAACCGTTTGTGCGATTTCAATGCTGTTTACATATTCAGATTGCGCCAGAGTTGATTTATACGGTGGGTTTCCGCCAATCACATACAAAGTGTCTGAAAACAGCCTACAAAAGTTGACAAATTTTGAAATTTTCGTAAACAAGGCGTGGAAATTGCGCATTATCTCGGGAACCATTTGCGCTGAGCCATTTTAATGCCGTTGGCATATTTAGAGGGCGCAAAAGTTGTTCAAAACAGTAAATGTATTTCTGACTTGTTTGGTGTTCATCTCTACCCGCTTATCGGGGTTTGTGTATAAACAACTTTTTTATCGTCTTGAACCAGCTCCATGCTACGCTCGCGCTACAAACGTTCCCACGTTTTAGTCAGTTCTTACCTGCCCGTGGTCTGGCACTTTTCGTTCTTTCTATTCAATTAAATGAATTGCATACATTTTATCGATAAAAATTGGCATAATTATCAGCACTTAATAACAATAAACGTGTTTAGTGTTTTATTAACGATGATTTGTGCGTGAAAGGGTCATAAAACTTGTATCTTTATTTGTGCGTTAGTGGTCCGTCGGCTATTTCTAGGTGCTAAGCATTGGAATTGCAAATATGTATGGAATTGTTAATTTCGAGTACCTATAATTAGTGTCTGTCCTTGGCAGGATTTCACGGGTGCTTGAGAAAATTGACTTGCTCGCCATGATCGGATCATTGTGGATCAAAATACCACTTGCAATACAACACCATTATCCGACGGAACGGACTAAATAAGTGTGTACTCGTATCCTTAGTGCGAAGACTTATACCCGCGTTCTTTCTGTTTCAGTATTTTCTTTGATTGCCCGCTACATTAGTAAGTTTGTAAATATTAATACATTTCTATCTTTAATCGTATGTAACGAGAGTACCGTAATATCTCAAAATTGTCGCATGCCCTCGGATGCGTTTTCAGTCTGTCTAGAGAATATCGGTTTCACTGTGCTAATCGTCTCTTTAATAGCGCGTATTTTTCTCAGTTGACATTATTTGTTTGTATCTTTAATTCTGAAATCGCAGTGACACTTAATTATTGCTTATAAACTGTTTGTAAAACGTAATTTCAATGTCCTTTACCTACGCATGTGTGATGTCGTCGCTCGGCACTTTGCCTTGTTTGATGTGAATTCTGAAGAACGCGTCGCATAGAAAATTTTAATTTTGCAATAAAATTTTATATAATCGTGTTTTATTTTTATATTTATTTTGATTGGGTATCTTCCCTATCTTCCTTCTAACCAACTAGCCAAAGGGCTAGACTTTTGAAAATGCATTTTAAAAATTGACATTTTCCAAAATGTTTGAAAACATAGTTTGGAAAACACTTTGTATCTTGTAAATTAATTTACTTTGTTGAAGGTATTTGCCGTTATATTAGAGTTCTTTACGATTCATACCTTTTCAACCCAATAGCCCTTTCGGAAGTGCCCTGAAATACCCTTTAAAAATTGGTGTTTTCCAATAAGTTTGAAAACATAGTGTGGAAAACACCCTGCATCTCGGGAACTATTTGACTTTTTTTCAAATTTCTTACCGTTACATTACAGCTCGAGAATCCCCCTACCCGATGTATATATTTCAACATTCTATCCCTTTTGGAAGTGCCCTGAAATGTCTTTCAATAATAGCTCAAAAACTAGCTCAAGAAAATTAAAAACGTGGTGTGGAACACACCCTGTATCTCTTGAAGAAAGTCTACTAGTTTCTTGAAGTATCGTAACGTCATATTAGGAGTTTATCTACGCGATGCATACATTTTCAACCCACTATCCGTTCCGGAAGTGCCCTAAAATGCCCTTCAAAAATAGCTGTTTAAACAAAAATTAAAAACATGGTGTAGTAGACACCATGTATCTCGTGAACTAATAGACTTTCTTGTGGTTTCTTAACGTCATATTAGAGTTTATGAATTTATCTACGCGATGCATACATTTTCAACCCTCTATCCTTTTCGGAAGTGCCTTAGAATGCCCTTCAAAAATAGCAGTTTTTCACAAAAATTAAAAACGTTGTGTAGAAAAAGCCAGTATCTCATGAAGCAGTACACTTTCTTGGGGTTTCTTAACGTCATGTTAAAGTTTAAGAGTTTATCTACGCGGTACATACATTTTTCACACTCTATCCTTTCCGGAAGTGCTCTAAAATGCTCTTCAAATATAGTTGTTTTTCACAAAAATTAAAAACATGATGCGGAAAACACCCTATATCTCGGGAACTAATAGACTTTCTTGAAGTTTCTTAACGTCAGATTAAAGTTCGAGAGTTTATTTACACGGTACATACCATGTCAATCTGCTAGCTCTACCGGAAGTGCCCTAAAATGCTCTTCAAAAGTAGCTATTTTTGTGCAATAAATTTCATTTTCTGGCTGAAAAACAACGTATTTATAATTATTTTTGGTCGAATCACAGGGTTGAACGTCTTTCCTGATGTTTACTGTCGATTTTTTTTGTAAACATTTTTTTGGCCGAATTTTTTTCAAAAATTTTTTTGGTCGATTTTTTTTAATTTTCCGGTCGAATTTTTTTTGTAAACATTTTTTCAGTCGAATTTTTTTCAATTGAAATTTTTTGTTGAACCTTATTTCGGTCGAATTTTTTTGGTCGATTTTTTTGTAAACAAAAATTCGAGTGAATTTTATTGCAAACTTTTTTCGGTCGAATATTTTTTCAAACTTTTTTTGGTCGAATCTTTTTGAATTTTTTTTTTAAACTTTTCGGTTGAAATTTTTGTAAACTTTTTTTGGTCGAATTTTTTTGGAAACTTTTTTCGGTCGATGTTTTTTATAAACTTTTTTCGGTCGATTTATTTTGTAAATTTTTTTTGGTCGATTTTTTTGTTAACAATTTTTCGTTCCATTTTTTTTGTTAAAATTTGTTCGGTCGAACAACAGGGTCGAACTTTTTTACTTAAAATTTTTCGTTCGAAGTTTTTTGTCAAAATTTTTTTGGTCGAACAACAGGGTCGAACTTTTTTACTTAAAATTTTTTCGATCCAAGAACAGGGTCGAACTATTTTGTTAAAATGTTTTTCGGAACAAAGAACAAAAAGGTCTACAAAACGAATGCATTTTTCTCTAAAATTGTAAATAGGGTCTAAATCGATGTAGAATTAAATTATCTATCAGGTATCCGATTTAAAATTTATCGAAATAGTTCCATGCATAGTACGAGTACAATTCTATTCATGTTCTGCACTACCACACTGAAAGTGTTAGTGTTTACAAACAAACATGTTTTCTTATCTCTTGCAATTTTTGTATGGTCGCCACGCGGTTGGCTTGCGCACGTGGTCATATTTTCATCGTCTGATGATCTGCACATACATTTTCTTCACAACAACTGTGTTCCTTAATTTTCCTTCGAGTTATTACGTAATGCTCCCTACATTAAACGTGGATGATCATTCGGCCGTGGGATACTCTTTTCGGATTATTCGCGTATTTCATCGTTCCTGTAATGTGCATAATTAATATTCTT